GTAAAAAGTGGGCAGGTAGATAAACAGAAGGAGGCACATCCGAACTGGGCGTTGGAGAGAGCCCGGCAGATTGCACTAAGCGCGTTTGTCTGGGTACGCGGGGACGCAAGTAAAATTTTCCGACTTTCGAACCCGGAACTACCCGAGCAGCGGGAAAACGGAGGAGTGAGAAGTCGGTCGAGGTTGAATGGAAGAAGGCATACTTGAAATGGACGTGTGAAGTAAAAATCACTCTCTCCATCAGTATTCTTGGTAATAACATGGTTGTGTTATCATACGATTCACGACATTGTATACAATGCAGATGCTGACCCTGTGAACATTTGGAGCAGTATGAGCATTTTGCTCGCTGAACTTAAAGACAATTTTTGCGAGCAGTGTTTGGATGAACCCGCTCTGTAATCGACTCGCATTTTGTTATAGAAAATTCGAGTGGGCTGCATTCTATGGGGGGGGGGGGCGAGGGACGGGTAACATAGGTGAAGAGACACCCCAGCGAATGAGATGTGCGCCGAGTCGGCGGCGCCTGCTGCAAAAGTTCATAATATAGTCGCAGGGCAACTGTGAGTAGCAGTGAATATGAGGTCATAATCCGAAAATTTCCATTAACCTACTACCAATTTTTAACATGTATTTATTTGTTTATTTACCTGCTATTCATTCTACACCAACTCAAATACCCATATACTTCCACTTCAGTTCATCCACTAAGCATCCAGTACCGGCATTCCACCCCTCTCCTTTAGCGAGAATTTTAAACGCTCCACTAAGAAGGGGGGGGGGGGTAATATACCAAATGCTAAAGGTAAATGTTCTGGAATGCAAAAAAATTTTCGAAGCGGGCGATCCGACTGGCCCTCAGTTTGGATGGCCGGGGACCCACTTCACACGCATAAGGAGGATCGCGATCCGACTGGCCCTCAGTTTGGATGGCCGGGGACCCACTTCACACGCATAAGGAGGATCGCCCGCTCCGACTGGCCTCAGTTTTGTTGAATTTGGCCGGCCCGGGACCCACTTCACCGGCATCAGGAGGATCGCCGATCCTGCTGGGCCTCAGTTTGTAATAGCCGGGGACCACTTCAACGCACATAAGGAGGTCGCCGCGAAGGCGGGCGATCCGATATGCCAAAAGTAGAAAACAAACAATAAGTGGGCTTCATTCAGCTGAACCTGAGGGACCACCGAGAGGGCAGCGTTCATGGAACCTCTCGGGAGAGGGTGAAAGAACCTCAGGTAGGTTTCGAGGATCTACTGGGCAGGAACATCAGGCGTCTCGAAAAAAATGATATATCAGTGATGCTTGATAGCAGCGTTCACAGTTTCGCGACAGCAGCGGCGATCGCCGGCGATCGCCGCGATCGTCGGTGCATGGCAGCGCGCGCCCCAACGCTATTGTGAATGCTCGCCTGATGAATAAGGGAATTCAACTTGTAAAACCTTCTTTACTCTTAATAAGGGCTACTAACAGACAAACTACGACTTTCTACACATATGCAGATCTGGAATATGAGGTAAGAAGGTTTCACTTCCTTTTAGGTCGGGGTAAGACCAACTCCATTTCCTGGGTGAGCTTTTTTTGTTTTTATTGTTTCATGCATGCGCCTCAGGAATTCCTATCGTCTAAGCTGTTTCAACTCCCAAAACATTCATATTTACAAAGTCGAGTTCAAACAACGAAGAAAAAAAAAGAAACAGAAGAAACTCTCCTAGGAACCAAAGCACTAATCATTTTACGCGACATCAACAGGTGAAAACTTCATAAACCTCATGTACAACCTCGACGAATGAAAAAAAGAAGCAATAAAAACGTACCTCAAGTGAAGCTCTCGCGCTTTTTGCTTATTCTTATCCTAAATTAAGAAGAAAGAGGTGAGAAAACAAAAGCGATTAGCTGGGCTCGCCTTCCCTTGTGTCAAACCAAGCTTCAGTACCTAAGGAAATTGCAGTCAAAGGAAAAAAAGCATAAAATTGAGCCGCTTACCCCCAGAAGCCTTCGGAGCGCAAGTAATAGCGTTGGGGCGCGCGCTGCCATGCACCGACGATCGCCGCTGCTGTCG